CACAAATTTTGTTGACCTTTCCTGGAAGACACCAACCTCCCTGTAGAGTGTTATGGGGGGTGGGTGGGACGAGGATGATCAGGGGGCATGGGAGAGAGGGAGGGAGGAAGGGAGAAGGAACTTGGATCGATATGCAAAATAAGAAAAAAGATAAATAATTTTTAATTTGAAAAAAAAGCACAATTCTGTGTTAAGAATGGTAGCAGTGCAATTTAAAATGGAGGTAATGAGCTTTTGATTTACATTGGTACTTATTTCCTCTTCTTTATTCAATTTTCAAGTGAACACAATGTTAGGCACATAGGAGATTCTTAATAATCGTCATTAATTGCATGTATAAATGAATGAAATTGCTTTAGGATAGTGCATTTAAACCAAAGAAAATTTATTGTAAGATACAATTCTAAATAAATGGGACATAATTGCTGGAGCTAAAGATGATCATTTCAATGAGAGATAAATTAAAATGCATAGAATTTTCAGTGGAACACACAATTGCTTCATCGTTCATGACCTGCAGCAGCGCACAATTGGAGCAGAGAAATCTTGTAGTAGCGTGTTTATATTTATTTGGTACTAAGCATGTATCAGATGCTGTCATAAGCATTAGCACATATGAGTTCATTTAATTCTCATAGCTGTTATAAGTGAAAGACCATCTTAGAAGCCCCCATTTTATGGAAGACAACCAAAGTCTCACCTAATTGGAGTGGGTTGCCTAATTCAGGTGAATTATCAAGAAGAGCTGTGTTTTCAACACAACCAGCCTTGTTCCCAAACCCATGCCCTTAACTATTTAAAGTACTTTGTTACAGAAAATAAAGATGCCCATATTTTGAGGACATCAAGTAGTCATAAAATTTGGTACTGGAAATCATAGATCACTGACACAGAATTTACTTATTTCTGGGGAATGGAGGAGTGGATAGACTTGAGGCCAAAACACATTTCTGGTGTGTATGTATCATTTTAGAGCACTGTTTTTCAATCTGAGGGTCATGACCCCTTTGGGGTCAAATGACCCTTTCACAGGAGTAACCTAAGAATATTGGAAAACATAGATATTTACAGTACAATTAATAATAGTAGTAAAATTATAGCTATGTAGGAGCAGCAAAAATAATTTTGTGTTTAGGGGTCAAGACAACATTAGAAACTCTACTAAATGGTCGCAGTATTGGAATCGTTGAGAACTACTGAGCTAGATCAAAGAAATATTTCAATGTATTTCTCCAAGGATGATTTTAAAAGGAAGAATTTTGAACACCTATAAATTAGAGAAGTTTTAATTTGGTGGCAAAAACAGAAGATTAGCAGTGGCAGTTTCCAGTTGTTTCTCTAAGCATTTGTCCTATGAGCAATACAGAGAATTATTTGATAACTGTATAATTGATAGTCTGACAGAAGCCTGGCTTTCTCAGAGACATTTCCATGAAAGATTGCAACTTATGGCCTCATGTTTTCTGTGTCCTCTCTTTCTGAACTTAGTAGGGTTGGTAGAGTTACAATAATGCCATAAACTGACCGAAGTCCTTCTTTATTCTCAAGGTAAGTGTGGTCATTCCATACAATGAGCCCTTTGAGATAAGATTGCATCCCTTATTGCCTTACAGGCAAAGACTTCATTGCTCCAACAGCCTTAAAAAGAAGGTGCACATTCACTTTAAGAAGAGATTTTCAGAGTACACAAATTCTAAAGACTCTTTGGGAATTAATATTTTTATCTTAACAAGAACAAAATATTGCTGATATAAATACAAATTTGTAAAAGATTCATGGAAAACTTAAGTATTTGAGAACAACTAAAACTGGCACTGGCCACATTGGTTTTCCTCATATTCAGGTAATCAGACATTAATGACATTTATTTTTTATTTATTTATTTATTTTTAGTTTTGGCTTTTCCAGACAGGGTTTCTTTGTATTGTTTATGAGCCTGTCCTGGAACTCACTCTGTAGACCACACCAGACTGGCCTTTAATTCACATAGATCTGCCTGCCTCTGCCTCTCGAATGCCGATTAGTGACATTTCTCATGAAACAATTTCCTTGATTCTTCAAAATTGTAGTTTTTCTGTAATTGGAAGCTTTAGTAGCTTTGTATGCTTATCCTTAGGTTAAACATGCTAGAAATATCCTAGTGTGTTGATGGGAGTTGCCATTTTGTAAATGTTTCTCATACTGGTTAATGCATAAAGCACTGTTGGCCAATAGGAAAGGAAGATAGTAGGGACTAGGAGACAAGGACGAAAGAGGAAGTGGTGGGGAGGAGTCAAGATGAAGAGTCCGGAGAAGGCAGAACGACCAGCCACCTCTTGCTGGTAAGACCACGTGGAAATACATAGAAATGGGTTAATAATTAAGACAGAGCTAGCCAATAAGAAACTAGTACCTGGCCAACAGCATTATATCAAATACAGAGTCTCTGTGCATTATTTGGGGCTGGTGCGGCGGCGGTACAAGACTAGGCAGTGGGCAGAAAAACCTTACTCCTTACAGGGTGTATCTGACTTGACCTTTACTGACTTCATGTGTGCCTGCAGAACCACCTTTTTTTTTAAGCTTCACCCACCCATACATAAAATAAATTGTCATTCTTCTTTTCTTATGATAACTGACATCTCTGCCATGATCCAGATTGAAATAGATGTTGTCCAAATAATAGGCTTAAAATTCTTTTTAGGCTTATTTTACCACATGTGTACCTGGTGCCCATGCAGGTCAGAAGAGGTATCAGATCACCTGGAAATGGAGTTACAGATGGTTGTTAGCCACCATATGGGTGTGGTGTTGGGAACTGAACTCAGGTTCTCTGCAAGAGCAATAAGTGCTCTTAGTTACTGAGCCATCTCACTAGCCCCCAAAGCAACAGAGTTTTAATACGTGGCCTTAGGTATTCTTTACTATTTCAATTCTTAAGGATTACTTTAAACTCTTTATTTTGACTACATTCAAGAGAGTGACAAGAATGACACATATAAATAGGGAATGATTAAAAGGAGCTAGAGAGGTTGAATCTGGTGACATCAAGGTATAATGGGGTCATGGTGACTAGTTTGAACATCTGATTGCTAGGGAAATATCAATTGGGAGTGTGAACTAGAGCCAATGGATAGGCAACTAAACAAATGGAGATTTCTAACTGATTATTCTGAAGACAAAATGGATATCTTAGACATTGAATGTGATCCAGTATAAGGTGATACATTATTTTGAAGGTGCTATGGCTATATAAGTAGTTAAGTCTATAGCATTTAAGTTTTCCTCACACTGAGGCTGCTTTTGTACTTACACACATGCAGTGTGATTCCAATTCCCTCATTGTTTAACTACGTGTTAAGGTAAAGGAAGAAGCATTACTAGTTGCTAATAACTTTTCCTCCTTCCTCACATTCCAGCATAATATGCTATGTTAACACTATTGTCACCTTGACAGTCAATGTGTTTATTTTAATAGCTTTCAGCAACATTATTCAAAGAGAATCTGTTCCCCGATAAGGTAGGGGATGTCTTCAGTTTTCTCTTTCTTTTCAAACCTCAAAGACTCTAGGATTGAAGATATACTTTGAAATTAAAATCACTGTAAATCTGCTGAGTCAGAGAGTACCAAGCATACTTGGAATAAATAAACTAGGATGTTTTAACTTAGCATAAAGCAGAAAAAATTTATCTCCTCTAATGTGCACAAATATTTAACTAATTCAAAGGAATAGGTCATATTTTATAATCACCTCTAATTTCAAACAACACACACACACACACACACACACACACACACACACACACACATGCATAAGCTGATGAAGCTGCTATGGAGACAGAGTTACTATTGCAGACACTGCCCTCAATTGCAATCAATGTTACAATAAGTTACTATAGCTCATGGGAGGCTATTATATTTTGGAAAAAATATACAAGGTTAAAAAGATGAAGAAATAAGGTATTGGGGAATTCATCAGGCACGGTCCTTGCAGTAATGGAACAATCTTTGAGCCATGACAAACTCTATTAAATTAATAATTAAGTTATTTTAATGACCAATACCTATTTCTTATAATAACAAATACCATTTAGCTGTTTTCTTTTGTGTATAAGTACTTTTTTGAGCCATTCTTATTTGTTATCTTCTTTTATCTTTATAAAACACTGCAGAGTTGATAAGTTTTCTTCAGTCTACATATCAGAAACCAGAACTTGAGAACACCTTGCCCAGGCTATATATTTGATATTAAAGGAAGGTAAAGAAAAAGATATTTGACTCAAGAGTTTGATTTAGTCATCCATTTATGACACTCTTCTTTTGTAACAGAGGTTGCTCTTTGTGATTTGTCATTTTCCACCATTATAAATGTTAAAGAAAGCTGCACTTAAATGAAGAAGATGTTAACTGCTAAAAGATCTTTAGATTTACAAAACCCAGAAAAGCTAGATGCCCTCAGACCCAATCAAGATGTATTCTTTTCTTATTCAAGTTCTGTGCATCAACAAACAACAACAACAAAATAGATGCCAATTGTTGTGAGAAATAACTCTCAGGCCAGTTGTATTAATTAAAAAATACAGAAACTAGCCCAGGAGGTCAGCATCAATTATCAGCTTCTGGAGTGGGAGTCACATGCTCAGGGATGTGACGAACTTCTTTCCAGTTGTTCCTTGTTGTTTCCTTTCCTCTCCCTAGAAATCTATTTCTTTCTATAACCAAGTTCTCTAAGAACATCATTCATCTAGCAACAAATAGCCATTTTCTCAGGTGCTAGCCCTTAAATAAACCTGTCTTTCTTCTATCAGATTTCACACCAGAGTACTGACTTTTGAACAATGTGTTGATGGACATGAGCCCACTAACACCTTCATGTACATAATGCTAATGTGATTATTTCATTTGTTCTAGATTTATGGAGGAATAAAAATAATAGTTTTCTTTTATTTGAGTCCAGTGGATTGAGTCCAGTGTAATTGAAGATTCAGATTATCTTTCAAGCAAGAAAGGTTATACTCACCTCGTTTATGAAGGAGAACACTGGCATGGCGACGTCCATTTCCATTTTCAACATAACAGGAATAATTCCCCAGGTCACCTTCTTCCACAGAGTCAACAATTAATGAGATAGAAACTTCCTGTTCTCCAAGATGTTCCTTAAGAATTCTAAAACATAAAGGAAAACGCAACAAAAACCCCCACACAAACATACACATACACATACATGAAAAAGAAAGAAATGTAGATGAATCTGAACTGATGTGAATATACCTACAGAGTTTGTGCTTCAGATCTGGCTATGAGTTGATGCTAAGTTAATTAAATGGTAGCATGCCCTTTTCTTCTTCACTTCTAATGAAGAAGCTTGTCTTTGGAGATGCTAATGAACTTGCAGTTAATTATCTCTCATAGCAGGACCATCATGCTGTCATAATAAAGAGGTGAAAGAGACCTTGAAGGAAAGTTTACAAATTGTTTTTCCTTTAAGAAGAAATATGATATAAAAAAAGATAAGAGATTTTAAACTGTTAGGCTGGAGGCCTAATTATAGATCAGATTTTTTTTTTAAAAGAGCAGGAAAGAAAGAGAACATTTCTGAATTATTTTGACTTATCTGTTGAAACCTTCAACCTGACTTACTTTTCCTAATGATACAAATAAGCTGCATAATTTTAAAGAAATGAAACCATAAACCCAGAGGCAAAAGTTCTAATGGGTATTTAACTTTGCCTCTTAAAATTAACGCTAAATGCTTACAATCTGATTGTTATTTATTTTAGTAATCTCTCAGAATAAATGGAAACTTTCTTAAACTAGGTGGCCCTTTTCCTTCTCTCAGTACTCCTAGTTCCAAACTACTGCCTGGATGTGTGTGTGTGTGTGTGTGTGTGTGTGTGTGTGTGTCTGTGTGTGTGTGTGTGTATTATATATTATATAATTAGATAAATAACTTTCTAGATCTTTTTGCCATCTCAATACAGCCAAAGTTATACAATTTAGGTCTACAGAACTTTTTTTATTTTAAAAACTCAAAAATATTGGTAAATGATAACAAGTGAAATTTTAAATATGAAAAATTGCAAAGAAAGATTTTCAACCATATTGGAAAATTGTCCATTTGGATCTTCCAGAATCTAATTAGAGCAAACCATTGTGAGATATTGTGTATTTGTTGCCAAAGAGAAGATCCTAATGGAAATGTTCTTCTATGACAGCTTAATATATTTCTGCTTCTTAATGAAAAACATTTTCTCTTATATTTTTGCTAAAGTTTTAAAAGTCTTGACATTTAAAAAGGAGAACCATCACTTAAATCCTTCTATCCAGTCAGAAGATCTAACCTCTATATGGAAGAATATTTAGAAAATATCCATCATTTGTATTTGGATATAACTTAGTTGTAATTATGAAAATCCTTGATCATTTACATTATGATTAGAACTAACTCTTCATGTCCAAATATAATTTGTTCATTAGTGAATACTTTGATACATAAATATAAGTAAATAAATGTGTAAGTACATTGAAAAAATGAACTATAAACATTATGCCCTCAAAATAGCTAGCTAAAATTTTAAAGGTTTGTTCTTCTATTATTATTTCCTCTTCATAAATATTTAAACTTTAAAGTTAGAGTAGGAATGATAACAAAAAATTCATGTCTTCCATCATCCCATCAAACATTTTATATTCGAATCTGTAGCTTAAATATGTAAAGACATTCCAGGAAAATATAAAGGTTGTATTTGAGTTCATGTAGTGACTAGTTAATGGATCCTTTCAGTATTTATTTTAACAGACAGTCTAACCCAGTGTGACCCAGATTGACCTTCAATTTACAGCAACTTTCTTGCCTGAGATTATTAAGCACTGTGATTACACACATTTGCCACCATGTTACTGGTCCTCTCAGTAACTTTTAAAAGATGCTTTAATAAATAAAAAGCACAATAAATTTCCTAAGGTTAGAAAGGGCTTCAATATTTTCCATTATTTTTATTTTAGTGTGCCACTGGTTAAATGTTCCTTTGGAAATTATAGTTACTTGGAGAAGGAGGGTATGTTTGTGAATATGATAAAAACATACTGCATGAAACCCCAAAGGATTAATAAAATATTTAAAAAGAAAAAATTACTCCTATTTTGCAAATGGCATTCACATTTTTTAATTCCATAGTCAGTCTGAAAAAAAAATTGCTTCTTTGACACAAAGCATTACAATATTTCTGTTATGATAATAGAAAGATAAAATGATTAAATGTTTTTTTTGTTTTAGCTCACCCTCTCCCCACTTAGCAGAGCACATGTTAACTGAACTGCTCTTGTTAAACAAAAGAAAAATGATTTTACCTAATGTCACTTTCCCAAACTTTATTTTCATCCAGATCTTCGATAAACTTCTCTCCTTTCATCCAGTAAATCAAAGGACTGACATCTCCACTGTACCCAAAGAAAGCTCTGCAGGTAAGGTTGGCTGAATCACCTGTGCAGGACGGAAACACAACAGAAAACCATTTGTTCCTGCATATTTAAAACAATTTGTCAAGTATGAATTGCATCATTCCATTGAATTGAAATAGCTAAGAGAATAATTGTTTAAGCGTTTTTCACTTTTGTCAAGTTTATCAAATGTATCATTTTTGACAGTATGTTTATTTAATAGAACGAGAATTACTTATGAGGTTTAGAAGAGGACCAGTTACCATGTAGAATATTCTTCCATTGAGATCTCATGATGTTTTCTTATGATTAGATTGATAGACTGAGAGTTTATGAATTATTGGGAAGATTAACAGAAAGAATAGGTCCTTCTCAAGGCATTCCATCGCAGAATACATGGAAAAACAAAGCAGAATCTGCTCTGGGAGGGAAGGCAATTATAAATCATAAGTCAAGAAAGTGCTGCTAAGAGACTTTGAATCCATAAGGGCTAATATTTTTCTTAGCAAAGTAACCATAATAGGTAGAAAATTGCATTAAAATGAATAAATTCATCGTAATAAATATTTGAGATTTTCATTGAGATAAATCAAGAACATGTATGATGGAGATGAAACTTTGTTTTGTTTTTCAAGATTTTACTTACTAAACTTAGAATATTTCTTATGTATAATGGCTACTCTAATAAGGTAGACATACGTTCTTGACAAAATGTAAAAGTGAATCTAATGACGCCAGAATGCTGAATTTATTCTTTCAGTTTACTGAAGCTTTAGCTAACATTACACAACTGAAATACTCTAGCTCTAATTAGGTATATGAACTTCCTGGGTTCAAGTGGAACCAGAAAGTAAGAGTGAGATATGAGTTCAGTAAGAGCCTACACCAGTAACATGAAAGCAAGAGAATACTTAGTCATGGTTGCCAAATGAAGAATTGAAATGTGTACCCCAGTGACATGTTTGCTGACATCTAGTGTAAACTAATTCTCTCAGTTTGACGTGGTAATAAATTATGATAATAAAATGTATGACTTTGTGCTCACTGAGTGCCAAGAAGGTAGTTCCTAAGTACTGGATGTCTTATAACCAAGCTATGAGTAGTAGTGGAACATTTGTAAGATTGTGCTTAGGACCTCTACAGGATAAGCAAAGAGGAGACTACAATGTACTCTGCTCCCCTCTTTTAAAGAGCAGGGCACTTTGTGCAGTTGGTACTACACTTCCAGTAACAAAAACAGTTTTGTTGGCTAAAAAAATTCCAAAACACCTATTCTAATATTTTAAGATGTCATAGTCTTTTGTGTTTGCTTATTTTTAAAATATTTTCTACTAGATTTCTAAACATTATAATTCATTTTTTTTTGGTAACATAGTTCAGATTACTAGATCTTTTTTATTTTTATTTTTTTTATTTCTAGGGAAAAGGATTTCTATTTTTGTTTCCACAGAAAATGAAAAGCTGTGGATTCCTTCCAGACTAATGTGGTTTGATCAAGCCAGACCGCCTGAAACAGAGTACCAGGTGATCCTACATTCAAAACAGCTGGACAAAGCAGCCTTACAGACTACAGCCAGGATTTCTGCATCTTCCTAAACATTATGATTCTATATGTAGGAGTCATTCACCATTGGTAAACTAGATCTTGTAAGTCCATAAATTAGCTACAAGCTTTTTAGAGTCAAAAACGAAGCTCCTGCCAAGCTAAGTGTCACACTCCTATAATCTCAGGAAGTGAGGAGTAGAGCCAAGTGGATCACAAGTCTGAGGCCAGCCCAGATTATATTGTGTGTGCTTGGCCAGCCTTGGCGACTATATAAGAAGACCCTGTCTTTAAAGGGCTGACACTGGAGGTTAGTTGTAAAATACTTGTGTAGCAATGCTGCAGGTCCAGGGTTTGATCCTCAGCAATGAAAAAGGGAAAAAAGTTTATTGTTGCTTTTTGTACACAACCATTTTTAAATCGTTTAATATTGAATTCATTTTTAGGGAACATTGATATTACAAAAGATATCTGAACATCAATGTTCTTAATTGCCATTTGAGTATATATTTCTTTAGAATGTATTACATAATTTAATTTTAAATGAGGTATTCTTTGAAGTTTTTGAGACAAGTCTCTCCTATGTAGACAGGGTGGCTTTAAACCTAGGACCATCCTACCTCAGCTTTCCAAGTGGTGGAATTACAGGTGTGTGCACATTTACACCTGGATGTGCATTTAAGGTTTATAGTAATTATTTTTATTCAGCTGCAATGTCTGTTACCATGCCAATGTAGCCATAATTCACCTACAAATCTCAAACAGAATCAACATACATAACTTAAAAGGCACATACCAATAATGTACATAATCTGCTATTTGAAGGATCAAGTTTAAGTTTTGAAGAAAAATTCACTGCCTCTATGTAATAAATGAATATCTCCAGAGATTGCCTAGCTTTACAGTACAATTTTGTTCAAGTCAGATAAATTGTACCATGAATAATTGAGTCTGACATTCCTTAGCAGAGGCGGACTGAAGCTCTGCCTGTGACCTGAAATAGTCCTTCACAACTCCCTTACTCTACCCGACAAAGGAACTTTGTAGATCCCTAACTGTCACTTCCATTCTCTTCAAGATTTGTGTTGATCCACCTAGGAAATGGCTTCTTCACTCATGCAATGCTTTCTTTCTCATTGTGCTTTATCTGGTTTTTGACTTTTTACTCCAGCTCCAAGATTGATTTTACCTGTCTGCATTGCTATAAGAGTAGGAGAATCCCATATAAAATAGTAGAATAGTAAAATTCAAGGAAAGAATAAAAGAGGACGAATGGCAGAGAAGAAAGAATATCAAATAGGAGAATTTGGAGGAAATAAAATGTCTTCCCCACATGGGAAGATGAGGTGTACATGGAAAATGGGTGGAAGGGAATACATAGGTAGGTACAGAATATTGATAAGACCAGAATAACAGCAGCTCTTTTCTTCTGTGTAAGGCATTTGAACAACTGGAACTTTTATTTGAGGAAGAAAAAAAAAACAGAAACCAAAACAAACAAACAAACAAAAAAAACAGCAAACTGGGGAAAGGTTTTGAACAGCATCTGAAAAGAAATCTCATCTGTCATGCAAAATCAACTCTCATTGCATTTTCCAACATAGGATTGTAACAGAGAGGATAAAAAAGGATTAGGATTACAGTACTCTGGCATTACTTAAGAAGTCATCATTGCAAATCAGATTGTTGATATGTAACTGTTTCCAAGGATGAATAATACATAGAAGCAATGACTATAGAATGTTATACTTATTACAAATGTGTTACCAGGGAACATCTCAAATCAAAGCTTAATAGGAAGCTTGAGAGGCTAGAAGGAAAGCTTAGAAGTGGTTAAGAGCACCTACTGTTATTCCAGAGGACCAGGGTTTGATTTCCAACACAGCACCTACATGGTAGTTCACAAACATCAGGAATACCAGTTCTACAGGGATTGACTCTGCCTTCTAGTCTCTATGTACACATGTGGTACACAGACATGCATCCATGTAACTCTCTCTCTCTCTCTCTCTCTCTCTCTCATACACACACACACACACATACAGAGACAGACATAAACAAATCTCAAAACTTAAAATTTTAAAGCATATAGTTTGACAAAATAGATGATGATAAAATATAGTTTTATTTATATAAATTATAGGTATCACAGTGATGTTTTCATGAGAATGAGAGAGTGAGAAAGTAGGAGAGGGAGAAGGGGAAAAAGAGGAAGGAAGCAAAAGAAGGAAGAAATGAAGAGACAAAAAGAGAAAGAAATTGATGAACTGATTTTAAAATGCAACCAGATCTTCCTCAATATAGGCCATATAGAAGTGGATTTGATCTGTGCTGTCTTGTAAAGAGAGTTTTCAGTGGTTTCTATGAATTATACCACTTGTGTTGCTGAGCAAAAGGTTCCAGTCCCCATCTTATGCATAGCTCTGCTAGTAGGGAAGACCCAGAGAGGCCAGAGGAATCTCTCTTAAGAGAAGAGCAGTAAAGTCTGGCTTACATGGGAAATTCTACCCAATGGTTAACAATCTTGAGAGAAACTCAGTGACTATGGCATTTTTCCCTTGGAAAATGGTGAGTAAGCAAATGTATGACAGCTTTGACCTTGGACCCTAAGTGTGTTTTTTGAAATTAGGAATGATGGATTATTATCCTTTTCCACTAAGCTGAGTAAGAATCAAACATACATGCACATGAGAGGGTAAAAGGGAGGGAAAGAGGGAGGGAGGGCTGGAGGGGAGGGAGCGAGAGGGAACTGGGATCGACATGTAAAATAATAAATTAAAAAAAAATGCTTTGACTCCAAAAATTTAACTTGAAGAACAAGTTACTGGGGAAAAGTATTTCTATTTTTGTTTCCACAGAAAATGAAAAGATGTGGATTCCTTCCAGACTAATGTGGTTTGATCACGCCAGACCGCCTGAAACAGAGTACAAGCTGATCCTACATTCAAAACAGCTGGACAAAACAGCCCTACAGACTACAGCCAGGATATCTGAATCTTCTTCGAATCCCCCAAGACAACGCCCCTTACCAGCAGGAAGTAGTTTGGAAAGAACGACGCCCAAATTCCCAAATATTGTGTGTAAATGTTTGTTTTCATTTAATTGGACTTTTTTATATAAAATTAAATAAAAAAATTATTAATAAAAAAAACATTGACAGAAATCTGAGGAAGACAATTCATGTCTATCCACTAGTGGCAAATACTACAAATATGTATTGTTTGAGAAAGATAAATGGTAATTTGGAAAACAAAGATGATGTGACTGTGTTTATACCTTGGACTAATAAAGTCACCTAGCAGGTTTAAAACATCTATCTTCTAAGAATAGCCTTTCATTATGAATTTCATACTCTTATACTATGTAACAGCATAGATAATTGTGGAATTCTTTTTATTTCTATTTAGTTCATTGCTCACACCTTGAATCCCACTATATTTCCCTACCTTTCAGAAAAATACTCTGCTACCTATCAGTTTTCCTCCATACCTCTTAGAATTTTATATAATACACAGTGATTTAACTTTTTGGATGGTTTGCACGTCGTCTGCCCAACAACCAGGGTAAAGCATTCCTTAATGTAGAGATTATAGCTTTATTTACCTTTGTATTAGTAAGATGTATTCCAATGTCTTGAATACCCAATAAACAATGACAAATTAGTAATATTCTTATTAGCTTTTAAATATCCCTTGATCTCAATTCCTTTTACATTTTTGAGAAAGAATTTTTCTATGTAATTCAGGCTTACCTGAATGTATTACAAAATGACTTGGAACTCTTGTTTCTCCTTTCTCAGATTCCCAAGTGTTGGGACTATAGCCATGTACCACCATACTCAGCTTCTTGTTTTTCTTTTGTAAAGTTTTATTACATCACTATTTCAAGGCTATATGTTCATATACCTGAAAAGGCCCAATCTGTGTTATAAAGTACGTTTCACATTGCAAATGTGCAGCCTCCTATTTCAGATTTCTTCAACTATATGTTAAAGTGAGTCATCAGTTGCCAAGAGTTTATATCCACATGCTCCTAAATTCTACAAGCAGGCTGATAAACACAGTAATTAAACGTTAAATTGTAGAAATACTACTAGTTGACTAAATCAGAAGTAATGGATGCTAAATATTTGTATTTATTTTGCTACATTGTACTATAGTTAATGCTCATGTGATTATGCAAAACTGTAATCTATAGGGTGGTCCAGTGGATTTAATAAGAAAGCATATGAAACTTGGAAACATAATGGTGAAAAATGCTAAGAAATTGGAAGGGAAATGTTGGGGCACATTTTTCAAAAGACATCTGTATTATAAAATTCTCAAACAATAAGAAAAAATTAAGATAAATTGTACTTGGGGTGTGGAAGAAAGAAGATTAGAATTTCAATGTCATCTTTGTCTACATAGCAACTTAGACGGTAGTATGTTGTTTGAAATCCTGTCTTAAACGACAACAACAAAAATAAACAATCACAAAACCCTAAAACTGAATATAATGTGATTGGATACTTTATTTAAAAAAAAAAAGAAACCATATTTTTATTTTCTGAAGTATGAGTTCTTTCAAATATACAAATTAAATTCATAAACAGTAACCATTTTAAATTAATTTTAGAAGTTCCCATTCTAATAGAAAATTGTTTTGTATTAGTATTCCATAATGAGACACTGTGTAGGGTTTAAGCCATTCTGAACAACAAACATCAAGTAGAGGAGATGAATCACTATCTTGTAGAATAAACTGAGTCCATGTGATAATTCATAGACAACAAAATATCTACTGTCTCAATATATTTGTATAGACTTTTGATGGAATTTTTATTTGAAAAGCTGAGAAAATTCTACAGAATTTGAACTTTTTGTTTTTTGTTTTTTTTTTGTTTGTTTGTTTTTTTTTTTTGTTTTTGTTTTGAGACTGGGTTTCTCTGTGTAGCTCTGTAGACCAGGCTGCCCTCCAACTCACAGAAACCTGCCTGCCTCTGCCTCCTGAGTGATGGGATTAAAGGCATGTACCACCACTGCCACACCTGAGAATTTGAATTTTTAACAAGCACTTTGGGTCACTTTATTCAAGTGGTTAAAGTTATCTGTTAACAGTAGAATGCCTTATTTTTACTTTAAAGCTTGTATAAATTAGGATGGGGACACAGAAATACTTCTATCATTGCTCATCTCCTGAAAAAAGAGAGGAAGGAAGAAAGGAAGAGAAACATTTGAGGCCATAAGCAGGAACTAAGAGCAGGGAAGCTGGCAAGAGCCAGAAGAATGACAACGGCATATAGATTAGTAATTGGCGTAGAGAAGTAAGATGTACAAATGGGTTACTGATCTAAACCAACCCATAATATTAGATCCAGTTTTCAAAAGAATGTAGGCAGAAACAATTTGTAATGGGACATGACTTGTCAGTCTATGACACATTTTTCAGGGTGATTGGATCCTGGTTTTGAATTCAGTTAACTGATAGATGTATATATTCTTCCCCGTCTGATAACGACTGAACTGATTGGTTTCTTCCATTTCCTCTCTGAAACAGGGAAAAATAATGTTAGCTCTATTTATAATTTAGCTCAGCATTCTTTTGTTTCATAGACACCAGCTGTTCCGGCTTTTCCTGTGACCCTGTCAAGGCATAATCTGTTTGGCTATCTCATATCATATGCATATTTTTTCCTAAAATTCATTCTTCTTACACTGCATGAGAGTCATGATTGTATATTGTTCTGAAAAACATCTGCTAACAATAATCCTACGATTGGTGCTTGCATATCATAAAATAAGCAACACTTTTATTCATATAATATGTATCTGGCAAGACTTTGCCAGTACCATTATTATTACTATTATTGTTATTTTAGATTTTTCCAAATATAAGAACCAGCATTTAAAAAATACCTGTGTTTGGTTTAAAGCTAACTATACATCTTGTTATTAGGAGCTAATATCTGTCTTTGTATTTATAAATTGCTGTAACATGCAATTTTTGATAAGGCAATTTTATCTGTGACACAGAGAGCCTAGCATCACAACTCTTCCTCATCCTCTTCCATTTATTTATTGAAAAAGAACCCACCCATGCATCTCTATACTAATGCTTAACCACAAATGTAGGAAATTAGGGTAAGAATTTCAGAAGTTAGAGGACAGATACACATTTATTCTTTTTTCCTTAATTTCTGATAACAAGAGACATAGCT